GATAATTAAGCGAGAGAAAGGAAGAATATCACTACCATAGAGGAATTCTGGCAAGAAGAGAATCAAATGGTGATAACAATGGAGAATTTGCTCTATTCTTCACGCTATGTACTATATGATCTTCTCCCCGAATGGGTAATACCCCCAACGAAGAGAACACAGTTCATATTTTTTTGCCTACGGGATATCCGGTAGATACGGGGGGATTGAACCATTCAAAATTGGAATTGAATCAATTGGATTGTGATAAGACCACCTTTGCCACAGGAACAGATCCTTTCAATAAGAAAAGAATTCTCCGTTCATCTAATGGGTTGCGCGCCGGCAAACTCTCGGGGATGTACACTCGACAGGTCTGCTTATGCTTAGTTCATGATGTCGATACGGATAATCATGACGAGGAAATAACGATAGTAGTACTGTACGGAGTAGTAGTTAATCTTGTTCGTTCCACCAGGAGGCGTTCCATGGGTCTGGATAGGAGTGTTCCGGGCTCTATTCATACGGAGTACTTATCTGTTCTCTTGACTGTCCGCATATTTACCAATTCAGAAATTACCGAGAGTGGGACTGATGATCTTTCATGTTGCTTTTCTGGCTTAATATAAAGACAAAAGGATTGAGCAACAGCAACAGACAGTTAACATTTATGCAGTTGATCTCACGGACAAATGGATCGAACTGTGGGTTTTCAATAGCCATAGCTACTACTCAAGTAGGCGTAGTCCGAAGTAGACTGATATAGACAAGAACATAGTAGTCTCTCTGTGAAGTCATCATATTTAGTCCTGTTATAACCCACCATTCGGTTCCTGTACATCCTACGTACTAGATATGTATATAATGAATCCTCCGTACAGATAGATTGGTTTTATTGATAGATTGATATGGCAAGTATATTAATTGCATCCTGGGGCTTCTTCTGGAAGAAAGCGGAGGTTGCACGTATCATTCGTGACATACCATTACCGTATTAATGTATACGGCTATCCCCAAACAAGAAAACACCCCGCACGTTGATTCCTTGGCAATCCATCCAATCAGCTCCACTTCTTACCTGAATTGGTGCTTCTCCTGACAGCACAATTAACCAATATCCCACCTGGCCTGACTCGTGTCGTCACAGATCACGTTGCCACGCGTATCGTAATTTACAATTTTGCATATATTACTGTATTCATAACACATATCACCTGACCGAAGTCATGTGTTTTGCGCCTGAGGCATAAAATTCCGTCATGCGATCATCCCGCTTATCACGAGTACATGGCACTCTGGTACATGGCACTCTGACAAAGGCACAGGCTGTGTCTCATTGCAGTCAAGCATATCCTCTTGTCTGCTCATTGCTTTATTCCCCTATCTTGGATGCATTTTGCTGTCTCGTACTTTAACTTCTAGCTGATACTGCTTTCTCAAAACAGACTATCATCACCAAATTGACGCTGTCGTCACATATCTAGTTCCCACGAAGAGGTGGCCACCACCATGCGTTGATATTCTGGAATTTATATGCAAAACTCACGATTTCTCTTTATCGCCCTCCGATAGACCTCTTGCAAGATGATGAAATCCAACATTCTCTCACGGATTCTCCCCCCCGCGGACTCTCCGTCGGTCTACGAAGCGATCCGAGAGCATGACGCCGATTCGAATGCATCAGACGTGGAGGAGCGTGCTGGCCTGGCCTGGGGTGAAGAACGGGGAGGAGGAGACCACTATAATGATCAGGAGCTGGAGGAGGCCATGGCCGATGCACAGGGCAGTGTTTTGTCAAGCCCGACCAACAGTACAACGGCGTTCCTGGCCCAAGACCATTCATCCAGAGGAGGCAAGGGCAAAGGCAGAGCTACTTCTCGTCACCGGAAATTGAGTCGACCGCAATGGGTTCAAGATGGAACACCGGAGTACGATGCAGATGAAGACGTTCCTGCTTCGCTTCTGGTAGAAGGAAACCACGATGATGATGAGCTTAGATCCAGACTGCCACCTCCTCCGCGCTCTCACCCACATCGACCGTCTCCGGATCCTGGTCCTCCACCACCCAGCAACATATCTCGATGGAAAACAAACAGGGAAGCTACGGAACAACTGGGACTACACGATGACCTCCAGAAACAAAAAGCACCCCCAGCGGCAAGGTGGTCGATTGGGCAGCATCCGAATCTTGCGTTTGTCGACCCCAAAGAGAAAGCTATGTGGAGATGGGCGAATGTCGAGAATTTGGATAATTTCCTGGAGGACGTTTATGCATACTCTCAGGGGAATGGGATTTGGTCTATTTCTCTTCAACGGGCTATAAGTCTTTTGTATGTCCCATACGACCTCCGCTGGTATCCCGTTTTATTAACAACCCATTTTCTTCCTCTTAGAAATTTTGCGTTTATTGTCGGATTTAGCACATTTCTCACAAACTGTATCGACTACTCCAGCGTCAGAGGGAGTCGAACACTGGATGATATCCTTATTAAACGATGCACGACCAAAATGTCAACTACCTCAACTTTGTTCCTATGGATGCTCACTTTCTTCTGGATAGAACGAGCCTTCCGATATCTGCTGGACACCCGGAGACTCAAACACATGCATGACTTTTATTATTACCTTCTTGGGATATCCGATGCCGAGATCCAAACAATCTCGTGGCAAGAAATTGTCAGTCGATTAATGGCCCTGAGAGATGCGAATCCCGCAACGGCCCGTGTGTCCACCCGGCATCGTAAGCTAATGGGAAGTCAGTCCAAGCAACGGATGGATGCCCACGACATAGCCAATCGGCTGATGCGCAAAGAGAATTATCTGATTGCTCTCGTGAATAAGGACATCCTAGATCTCAGTCTACCTGTACCTTTCCTTCGGAATCGACAGCTGTTCTCAAAAGTTTTGGAGTGGAATATCTATCTCTGCATTATGGACTATCTGTTTAATGAACAGGGTCAGATCAAGACGTTGTTTTTGAGGGACACACATCGCAAGGCTCTGGCTGAGGGCCTGCGTCGGCGTTTTATCGTGATTGGTATTCTGAATATCTTTGTGGCACCATTCCTGGTCATCTATTACCTCATGCACCATTTCTTCCGCTATTTCAACGAATACAAGAAAAATCCTTCCCAGATAGGTTCCCGCCAGTATACCCCTCTAGCGGAATGGAAATTTCGCGAGTTCAACGAGCTCGATCATCTGTTCCAGAGTCGGACCAACATGTCCTATCCCTATGCCAGCCGATACATTGACCAGTTCCCGAAAGATAAAACAGTTCAGCTGGCCGGATTTGTGGCATTCATTTCCGGTGCGATTACGTCCGTGTTGGCTGTTGCGTCGCTAGTGGACCCCGAGTTGTTCCTAGGGTTTGAACTCACGAGCGATCGTACCGTGTTGTTCTACTTGGGTGTATTTGGTTCCGTCTGGGCTGTTGCGCGAGGCTTGGCTCCCGAAGAAAACGATGTTTTCGATCCAGAGTATGCCCTTCTCGAGGTAATCCGGGATACTCATTATTTTCCTAGTCATTGGAAAGGACGACTGCACAGTGATGAAGTTCGAAAAGAGTTCGCGATGCTGTACCAGATGCGCATTGTGATTTTCCTCGAGGAGGTCTTGAGTATCATTTTCACGCCTTTCATTTTATGGTTCAGTCTGCCCAAGTGCAGCGAACGAATCATCGATTTCTTCCGGGAATTCACCGTGCACGTGGACGGGCTGGGATATCTGTGCTCCTTTGCTGTCTTCGACTTCAAAAAAGGCACCAACGAGATTACCCAGGGTGCAGCAGGTCGTCATCATCGAAACTCCCATGATCCTGCCAGGCAGGATCCACGCACGGATTACTTCTCCACCAAAGACGGCAAAATGCTTGCGTCTTACTATGGCTTTTTGGATAACTATGGCGCAAACCCTCGGCCATCCGGCAGACGACCGTTCCATCCACCACCGGCCTTCCCGACGCTCGGGTCACCATCTGGCATCGACTTGGGACATTACCCCTATCCGCGGTCGGGCCCAGCGGCTGGTGCACCGGGGAGTACGATGATCGGTCAAATGTCGACCGCGGGAGCCCGATTTGGAGCTCCAGGCGCGATGGATCACTTATCGCCAGCCCCGTCGATGCTGTTGGATCCACACCATCAACCATCTGCAATGAATCGTACTAGTGCTCACCCGACCTATCGGGCTTCACGTGTGGTCCCGAGAGTTGCTGAGCCGATTGAAGATGAGGATGAACCCCCGTCCACCACTACTGACGCCCACCGCCTGGCACCGCTACCCGTACACACCACCACGGTATCGAGTGGTGGCATTGGGGAGAGCGAAAGTAACCTGGGGGACTCCTGGCGTATGAACTTAATGGGCAGTGGCGAGGGTGAGGAGGAAGGTGAGGAGGGCGAGGAGGGCGAGGATGTGGATCGCATCGTTGAAGGGCCAGGTGTCCTGGGCTTGATCCAACAATTCCAGAAGGCGAATAATGATGGCCGAGGACGGACGACAGTTGGCATCTAATTTCTTTTTCTTCTTCCCCCTTACGTTCGATATCTGGTATGACATGCTGTTGTCATGATCGAGCTTACACGACAGTAACGGATTGGTTTTGGAAGTTGTCGTCTTTTGGAAGCGCGGAGTATACGGATAGCGATGTTACGGTCTGCTCTACGTACACTTTGGGCCTGTTGGATTTTCATAATTTCTTCTGGTTATCTTTACTTGGGTATTACTTTGGAGTAGATGGAAGTAGTTAGAACATCAATGCAATTCCGAATCCCCCGAGTGCAAATTGGAAACACAACCAGCAATTGCAGATACAATGGCCTATCCATGTAATATGAGCAGCGTTTATATCCCGTCTGACGTGGGAGATTTGTTTGTTGGGTTGCGGTCAGTACATGCCCTGTCGCCATCTTTCTTTTGACATAGTCTCTTAACTGCACAATATTATACACAGTCATTGAAAATCTACTTCAGTCTGCGACTTTTCTTCCTTCCTTTATTTCATGTCAAGGCATACAAAAATGGCCACTTTCTCATCTTTCTCCTCTCCGCCCTCAAGTCCTTCACCGTATGATGCACCCCCATCATATGGCAAGTAAGCTCGTGTCTTGGATAGCAAATACATTCCTGAATAACTGACCGTTTACTCAATGCAGAACTCTCTGCACTACACACCGCTAGCTGCCCGCGCACAAAAACCATCACAGAGCTCGCCAAAGTCCTGGACGAGCACCGAGTAGCCCTTGTCAGAGGCCCCCCATCCGCCGGCAAAACAACCCTCGCAAGGCTCCTCCAAAGCTACTACACCAGTCGCGAAGAACCCGTCGTCTTCCTCACTGGCTGGCCCCACAAAACCGTCGACCCACCAATATACCTCTACGAGAAATGTAAGGAAACCGGTTACGAGGTCGACTACATGACCCTCCAGTACTCAAATATCACTTTTATCATTGACGAAGCGCAGCAATCGTACAGCGATGAAGCGCTGTGGCGGGGTTTGATCAAGTCGCAGAGCGGCTGCCAGAGCGGCGCGAGGATCTGTTTGTTTGCGTCGTATGGGAACCCAGTCATGGGGACGCCCGAGGGACCGGGGGGTCCGCCTGTGCATTTTGAATCAGAGCAGCGGGTTTCACTGCTGAGGTACCATGCATCACATGGCCCGCATTCCAATAATCTCGGGCTGTTTTATACGCTAGAGGAATTTGAGTATGTGCTGCTGCTGTGGTCGGCGGTTAATGAGGTTGAGATTGCGCCGGTTGCGAGGAAAGTTCTCTATTATGTGACAGGTGGGCATCCAGGGGCGGTTGAATCGCTGGTGGCATATATATTGGTATGCTTACTTCTCTTGATTATTTGTTCGCAATCGTCGTGATCAAAGGACGACACTAACACTCTGCAGGCATATTACCACACCGAAGTAGAAAACGGCAGCATCAAAACAATCACAGAAAAGCATCTAGTGGATTGTCTACAAGACGGACCCAATCTCTTCGCTTCCCTCCAAACAACTGTCTTCTTCCGATCCTTCCCAACCTCACAACAACTTGCATTCGCTCCCGCCGCTGCAACCGCGCTTCGTCGAATAATCCAAGAAGGAACAGTCCCATGCGACTTGGACGATTCCGGCATTGAACTCTGCTTTAAGAGAGGCTGGGTGCACGCGGATTATACGCACAGTTCTCCAGCCGGGGTTGACAATCTGGTTTGCTTTTTGCCGACGAGGTTGCATGTGAAGTGAGTTTCTGGTCCTTTTCCTGAACCAGAGTTGTGAGTGGAGCTGGGTCTAACAGGGGCTTAGGGTTTTGGAGGATCTTCTGGGAATAAACCAGCCGGGGTCATTTTTTTGAGTGGTGGGATACTTGTCTCCATGGTTATTTTTGCATGGGTATAGCATATGCTGAAAACCAGACAGAACTGGGAAAAGCTAGCGGGTATTGCAATTGATTCTTATGCAATCCATAATTAAGAGGGTTAGTCTAAGAACAAAAGAAACAAAATAAAAATAAAAAAACCGTGTCTCACAGTAGAAGATTCGGAAGATTCCATGCAGATCCCGGGGATCGGATCTCGATATTGATTGTTACTATTTTAGAGACGTTCGAGACTCTTTTAGATCACAAAATGCCACAGAAAAGGATGCTAAGTCCACAGATAGAACAAATCAGATCCATAATATTATTAGGCCATTATTATTACTACGGCAATATGGGTAGCACTACATAATGGAAATGGTTTTTCCCTAAGCGTGGTTCTTGGCCGATTTTACTTTTCTGTCGGTGTCCCTCCTTTTCCTCTATTCTTCCTCTGCGAATGAGACATGAGAGATAGGAAGAGTGGCAGTTGCTGATATACACTCTCTAATGGATTATTGTTGATGCCTTGATAGTGCCTTGTCTTTTTTTTTTTTTTTTTTTTTTTTTTTTTTTTTTTTTTTTTTTTTTTCCCTTCTTTTCTTTTACCCAGTCACTCGTTTACCCTCGTTTACCTCACCTGTAACAGGGGAGTACCTTCCTCTTTGTCCCTCCCTTTTTTTCAATTCCATTCCTTTTAAAAACATACAAAATGCTCGTACCACGTCGATATCGCGGTCTCCTGATCTTCGCCGTCGTATTTGCCGTGGTGTTTATCCATTTTGTCCGTTCCTACGACTGGCAGATCGTCTTTCCGGACGACTATCACGATCATCACCCCCATTTCCCCCCGCCGCCAGTTGATCTCTTCTCGCAAAGACCTCCCTCGCTCGACTTCGTCCCCGGTCCTCCCCCACACCAACAACCCCCGAATCACAGACAATCCCACGAAGACGCGAATCAAGTCGGTATCAAAACGAGCGGTGACCAAAATGCGGACCCCGGTGGTTCTGGCTCGCGTAAACAGCAACAAAAACAGGGAAACCAGGGGAAGCAGAAGCAGGGCGTGAGCATGTTTCCGGTGAAACAGCCGCCACTCCATTGGAAGAAAGTCCCGGAGTTGTTCCCCCTCGCGCCGGAGGAGCGGATCATGCTGCCGACGAGCGACCCGAAGTCGTTACCAAAACTACAAGCTGACTTCAAGATTGAGTCGGCCGAGGAGAAGGAGAAGCGGTTGGAGAAGTTGGATGAGATTCGGAAGACATTTGAGTATGCATGGAATGGGTACAAGTCCTCCGCGATGGGGAAGGATGAGCTCAAGCCTTTGCGCGGTGGGTACAAGAATACTTTCAATGGCTGGGGAGCTACAGTGGTGGATGCGCTGGATACGCTTTGGGTGATGGGTTTGGAGGAGGAGTTTGCTCTTGCGGTTGAGCATGTCAAGAATGTTGACTTTACAACGAGCGAGAGGTTAGAGATCCCCGTCTTCGAGACGGTCATTCGTTACATGGGTGGATTGTTGGGTGCATATGACATCTCGGATAAGAAGTATCCCGTGCTTCTGGAAAAGGCTGTTCAGCTTGCGGAAATTGTGATGGGGGCTTTTGACACGCCCAATCGCATGCCAACTTTATTTTATAAGTGGACGCCAGACCAGGCATCGAGAGTTCACCATGCGAGCCGTCGAGCTGTTCTGGCGGAGATTGGCTCGCTTTCGATGGAGTTTACGCGACTTGCGCAGTTAACAAAGGATGATAAGTACTACGATTCCATTGCCCGTATCACCAATGAGCTGGAAAGGGTTCAATCTTCCAGCAAGCTTCCCGGTTTGTGGCCTACCAAGCTGGACGCCACTGGATGCGAAAAACCTATATCTTCATCTGCTGTCGTGCGCGATATTCCGTCTCCATCCAACTCATCGTCATCCCCCGTGCACACACTCAGTGTAAAGCCAGTTCCAACGGATATTGAGAGCTATAAGAATTATTTCGGACGACGCGACGAGAGTGGCCTTGCGCAAGATGCACAGCCTGCCAACTATGAACAGCTGATCAAGGAAAATAACCCCGAAGCCCATATTATTTCTGCAGACAGCGACTGCAAGGGTGCTCTGGTAACTCAGAACTCTTACAAGGATGCTTTTGGCTTGGGGGCAGAGGCAGATTCAACGTATGAGTATCTTCCCAAGGAATATATGCTACTTGGTGGTCTGAACGATCAATACAAATCCATGTATGAGAAAGCAATGGACACAGCTCGCGAGCACCTTCTCTTCCGGCCCATGGTAAAACATGGCCGCGACATCCGTTTCTTGGCCACTCTCGACCTGAGGAAGCCACTTGCAGAGCTGCAGCCGAACAAGGTACCCACTAGGTACGAAGCGACGCATCTGACCTGCTATGCTGGTGGCATGTTTGCGATGGGATCCAAGTTGTTTGGCATTGAAAATGATATGGACATTGCCGCTAAGCTGACAGACGGGTGTGTATGGGCGTACGAATCTACATACACCGGTATCATGCCTGAAACCTTCCTGGTGGTACCCTGTAAGAAGGGTGAACCATGCACATGGGATGAGATCCGTTACAAGGATGCCCTGGACCCTTGGCGAGAGGAACGTCTAGCTGCGATGCAAAAGATGAAGGAGCAGGTCACCGAAGCCAGAGAATATCAGGAGGACGCGGTCGAAGCTGATAAGCCGGTTTCCACGCCTGAAAACAATGCTATTGTCTATGAACGCGATGGACTCAAGCGTAATGTATCACAGACCGCCGAAACGCCAGTACCAACAGCTCCCAGGGTAAAAGCCACACGTCGGAGTCTCCTTTCACCATTACCTGGGGATCCTGCTGCCGCGCTGGCTGATGACTACGTCAAGGCCCGGATCAGGGAAGAAAGACTGCCACCTGGGTTTGTCCGCATGACTGACCGACGCTATCTGTTGCGACCTGAGGCGATTGAGTCCGTCTTCATCATGTACCGTCTCACTGGCGACAATTACTGGCGTGAGAAGGGATGGAGGATGTTCGAGGGTATCGCCAAGCATACACGCACAAACTTTGCCCATTCGGCCATTGAGGATGTCACTTCGATGCAGCCGGTGTTCCAGGACTCAATGGAGTCGTTCTGGCTTTCGGAGACGCTCAAGTACTTCTATCTGCTTTTTAGCGATCCGAGTGTCGTTAGTCTTGACGAATATGTCCTGTGAGTTGTCGTTATTCCAATTTGGGAGTCATGTTGCTAACTGTTTCCAGAAACACGGAAGCTCACCCATTGAAACGACCTACATAATTGCTCACAGCAGCTTTTTCGCGTACATTATTTTCTTTTGCTTTGCTTTCCGGTTCTTGTTGCATATACTTTTTGATACCGAGTGCTGTTTCATCCGTGTGTTTGTTAATTACCAGCGTGTACGAAGTATGAACCGTAATGCCAATCTACTTAATACTACTATATAATGATTTACAGTATCTTATTATAAGACCTATATACAAGACTGTTGAATGGTATTGTCTGGCACCGATGGATCGCCCGCAAATCCCCCGCCGCCTTTGACTTGGCCCAAGGTCCACCATCACCAAACACCGCACTTCTGCCTGCCTCCATCCCATCAACACCAAATCAACAACTCTGCCTCTCCCCCATACCCGCCGTATATTTAACGATACTTTCTCCCACTCCCTGGGAGCAAAAGAGTCTCCTTGACGGGGAGGACACGAGACGAGACGGTATGAGTGCAGAGCATCACCAACAGACGCCCCGACGACGACTGCGAGCCGTGGGAAATGGACTCCGAGGTTATTTTGGAGAGTGAGCAGCAGTTCTGGGATGGTATGCATTCCTTTCTCTTTCCTTTTTCCTCTTCAGGGTTCTGTGATATTGGTGGTTTGTTACTTTGACGGGGCGGTGCTAACTGAACGGCGGTTGTTAACAGAACTCCAACAAATCGTCTCTACCCCTTGCGACTCGGAAGACTTGATTGATAACGTGCTACGAAGTTATCTAGATTTGACTGTTCAGTATAAGGGTGTGTTTACTCTTCTTTCTTTTTGAGTGCCAATATGTGCAGCGTGGTCTCAAAATGCGGGGACTAACCTGACACCGGACAGATGAATATCTCAATTCCGAACTAGACATTTCACGCTGCTCATTCAAACTATTCTCGTCGAAAATTTACGCTGCTCATGGGGATTATGTCCGAAGACAGTTGTTATATGGTTTACTGCAGGTATGCTGGATTATCTTTGCGACTCGCGCACGAGCAAATATTGACGGTTCTGTTACAACGAATAGGAAGACGATCCTAAAACTTTACATCTTATATCCTCCTTCCTCCTTTTCGACGGCCGCCAGAATGAAGCTACATTCAATACGATGAACGATGAGGGGGCGTTTCCGCGGTTGTTGGAGCTATTGCAGAAGAGGAAGAATGATGGGCAAGGCCATAGCGAAAACGACGAAGATGACGACGGCGGAGCTGGTCTCCATCGAATGTTGATGGACTTGTTGTATGAAATGTCGAGGGTACAAAGAGTGAAGATTGAAGATTTGGTGCTTGTGGACGATGATTTTATCAAGGGGTTGTTTGAGCTTATTGAGAACCTTTCGGATGATGTTAATGATCCGTATCATTACCCGGTTATTCGTGTTTTGGTGAGTGTCCTTTGGATAAAGGAAGGAAAGCGAGACTAACAAAACAGCTGGTGTTGAACGAACAATTCATGATTTCGGCGCATGATCCCATTGATGAACGGTCGGGCTTTTTGACGAATAAGGTAATCAAGGTGCTTTCGATGCAGGGGAACTATTACAAGACATTTGGGGAGAATATCATTCTGCTCATCAACAGAGAAGGTTAGCTTTTTTTTTTTTTT